CTGGAACACTGCACATCAAACACCTAAACAGCCCCCTATTTTCTCCCACACCCCAGCCCCTGGCTAATGATTGTTTTAGTTTTGAACTTTGTGGATTTGGCTGCTCTAAGTACTTAATATCAGTGGATTCATGCTCGTATTGTTCTAAGTATTCATACAATTTTTGTCTTTTTATTCCATTTTGGTTTCTTGAGACAAGAGTGTAATCTGTAGATCAGGCTGACCTGAAATTCATTATAAAGCCTATGTCTCCAAACTTGTGACAATGCTTCTGCCTCAGTCTTCCAAGTGCTAAGATTACAGACTTGAGTCACTACACAGAGCTATATATATCCTTTTGTGACAGACTTGTTTTTGTTTTGTTTTGTTTTGAGATAGGGTTTCTTTGTGGCTTTGGAGGCTGTCCTGGAACTAGCTCTTGTAGACCAGACTGGTTTTGAACTCATAGAGATTCAAACTCATAGAGATCCACCTGCCTCTGCCTCCGAGTGCTGGGATAAAAGGCATGCGCCACCACTGCTCAGCCAGGCTTGTTTTATTTAGCATAATTTCCTAAGTGTTATTCATATTATTTTCTCTCTCAAGATCTTATTTATATCTAAAGCTAAATTATAATTCCATTTTATTTGTCACACTTTTCCCTTGTTCAATCCATAGACATTTAGATTGTTTAACCTTTCTATTTACCAATATTACTCTTTTATTTTTTGTCATCCCTGGCGTCAACCCAGACTTTCATATTTTCTTAATATTTGCTCATGTTAGTCACTCTTTGTAAGATCAACTCCCTTGTTTGGGAAGCCAACTTACTCACCATACATGTCAGCCTAGACATCATCTTCAGCAATAATGCTTTGGTTACCTTGCCCTGTACAACTATTCTGAGGAACTGAATTCACAAGAATGTATGATGGATAGATATGTCCACCACAGGGATGTGTCTGCCTCCCCTACCATGGCTGGCTGCAAATCCTAGGAGGGCAGATACATACCATCCAACACTTAGCATCATTGTCTCCACTCCCAAGCACAGCATATAATACACATTTAAGAAAAGAAACATTTGTTCAAGCGTAGAATGAACCAGAATTTTCCTCTCTTTACCTGGTCATGCCTTAAATCAGTAGGAAAGTTTTCTCCACTAGTAAAATATTTTGTTTTCAAAGTATAAGATAGTCTATAAACAAGAGGCATGGTATCATTTCTTGGCTTTCTATACACGTAGCCTTATTCATCACACAAATGCTTAAATCTTCCATAGCTGTTCCCTCCTTGACTACAAACCTAGTGTTGATTTAGTTTTTTGCTCTTGGACTTATTTGTTTAAAAATATATCTGACAGGCTTCGCTTTGTTTTCCCTGAAATTTCATGTCCCTGAAATTTACAAATCAAGTGATGTTCCAGTGGCCTCTTCTAAGGTGTGCCCTTCATCTCTGCACATCATGTACAAGGCACCCCGTTTGCTTTCTCATTTCGGTCTTCATCACAACCCTTGCTTATTTTCGCTAAAGTTATTTACTCACTTTAATGGGCTCAGCTGCTCGGGGGGTCATCTCTGTGACACCCTTCATGTTTGTTTGCTTTTCTCAAATATCCCCTGCTTAACAGGTTTCTCGATATTGAATCCATGTCATAGAAAGCTTCAAGTCTTTACCTAAAGGTTTTCCAGCTGTGACTTTGTTTAATGCATTGGCGTTGAACACTTCACAATGAAGAGTTAAAATCCAAAACGTATCTTACAACCTCATTGTTAAAAAACAATTAGCATGGAAAATCTTCACCATGGAAAATCTTCACTACAAATGTGTGTGTATCTAGCATGGTGTTAAGATTCCATTTTGAAGACATCATCTTCTTTCAAATGCACCCTCCCCTCAAGGGGAAGCCAGGTGAATATTTAGAGTAATGCTCAGGTAGAATAAAACTTCTTTCTAAGGGACAGACCCTCGGGAATGGATGAAGGGAGTTCGGGAGTCTGATTTGATGGGAGGCAATAGGGCAAGAGAATCCGAGCAGTGATATTCCAACACCCTGAATTTCAATGCAGAAAGCAACAGGGAATCATGCTGGAAGAGAATGATCAAAGCTGGGCATTTTCCTCTCTCTCATTAATGTCTAATTCTATCCCATGTGAATCTACTATCTCCCTACAGAAGCACACCTTTTTGGAATAATCACAATTTTAGTATATGTAATTGAATATTCCTTTTAAGAAGGCTAGTCTTTGGAGATGTAGAATCTGATTGATATTAATAGTAATTAGTTTCATGCTCTCACAGGTTCTCTTTCTAGCACTGTAATTTCAGCATTGTAGTTTGTTCTCCAATATTCATTCTATCTCTACTCTTTTGAGTAGCACCAGTAAACACTTGGGAAATTGAGTGTAGTTGAATTTCACTTGGCTTAAGTTCACTGTGGTCACTTCAAGTGTTTCTTTCAGTCGGATAATGAACATGTGACTCACTTTCAGCTAATGGGAACGATTAAAGTTTACAAGATGATTTGGGGAAAGAACTATGCCTAAATTCCCTCTTCTTCAAGGTTAATACCTCAAGCATGTAGCTAAAGGGTCTCTCTGTAGAGGATAAAGGTGGTGCTACCAATAGCAACATGGAGAGATGTGGGGCGGGGCCCGGGGTGCGGGATCAAGGTCCTTTATCTTGAGATACAAACTTGGCTAGCTTGGGACTTGCACTTAGAAAGAACTTTCCATTATAAAAGCTTACAAGTTTCTTTTCTATTTAATCTAGTTTGGATATGCTGATCTCTAACTTAAAACCGTATGCATTCCAAATGATCCTTGACCTTTGTGACCTCCTGCAGACACCTGGGTGACCTTTTGTGATCATAAGCCCTTTGAGCCTCATTTCCCTTATCTGAAAAATGAATATAATTATGTCTGGCCGAGTTTTTCATGAATATGATTTGAGGTTCAGAACGAAGCCTGAGGGAGGGCACCAGGACTGATACTTCCTGAGTGCTTAACATTGGGATGTGACTGTTCACTGCTTCTAGGAAAGAGAAATCCACCAGTAATATCTATATAAAGTGACAGGAAATTGCATGCCTGTGATCTTCCTTTCAAGCAGATGGTGTAGATTATTGGATATTTATTCTTCATGGTACCTGGTATGCCAGGGGAAGGTCACAGTGTGTAGAGGTGAACAAAGGGATTAGAAAAGGAAACACAGAGAAGTCATATTAAAGGCAAAGCTTAAAGGCTGAGTAGGAGATAGGTAAACAATGGAGAACATTTTACGCAGAGAAGCAGGTACAGGTGTTGGAGTGGGAAAAGGACTTGGTGAAGAGAAAAAGAAAACAAGTGCAAAAAGCATGGTGGCCAAGGGATATTGTGTTTGGGAAGACAGACTGGAAAGATCAGAGAAGACCGGTAACAATGGGATTTTCTGGACAAGGTGAAGGTTTCTGAACTATCTCTGTGAAACGAGACCACTAGAATAGTCTTATGACATGATATACACACATTTATGTTTATCTTAAGGGACAAGTAGAAGCAGATGAATTTGGTTGAAGTCTGGTTTTGTGATGCCTGTTGTTGTCTACACTGGGGGCTGTTGAGATGGAACAAGGATGAATTTGAACAGTTGCTTGAGTTCTGGCTAACAGCTTTGTTGATAGATGGGAGAGACTGTGGCGAATCTTGGGGAAATTGAAGCCATGCATGACTCCTCAGCTCAGCTTTGGGGAAATCAACAGACAGATTTTTGTCAGAGGAAAACTGAAGTTCCATTTTGAACTTCGGCAGATTCGGTGTTTCCCATATCAAAAGCTATGGGAATCAATAGTACCTGTTAGTAAGAAAGTGGAGAATGGGAAGAAATGCCTTACCTTGCTTCTATTAGGAAATATTCTCCCCATGTAGTCCTCCCTATAAAATAGTCTTCAAAAGTCAGTAAGAGGAGTGGGAACCACAGCCTGGGTAGAGTAGCTACCCAGTAGAGTTGAAGAGGTGACCAAAGAGCAAGAGTGAAAAGGGGAAGTTATAGAGGATGGAATATGGGAGATTGTCGGTGAATTAATGTCCTGACAGAGATAAAAGGAAGATTTCAGTATTTGATTTCGAGCCAGCTGAGATCAAAGAGCTGATGATGTGGATGAGAATTTAAGTCTTACGGTTTTGCAGCAGAGAGGTCTGAGATTATGACCCATCCTAAAACACATGCTCATGTATGTCATGTGCACACATTCAGCTATCCAGAAGCATGAGCAAGTGGTGGTTTGTGGGAGTTTGTCTAAGGGAATATATAATTCTCATAACGTTCATTGCTATTTCTTAGATAATATTGGGTACATAGGAGGAGCTTATATGTATTTTCCAAATAAATATACCAAAATCTGAGACCCAGTTTTTTTGTTTTGTTTTGGTAGAGATAGTCATTTCAGAGACTAAAGTGAAAAATTAGAACTTATTGGGCTTGAGTATCACCTTCATCTTTTTTCTCTTTCTTGTAGCAGTGATAACTTTTAAAAGTCATGAGTTCATTTGTCTGCGCATTCTTAGAATGTCCCACCTGTGTTATTTAACTCCATATGGAAGAGTCCACCAAATAATGACAGTATATATATGCCCAATAAACATAGATTTAATGAATTTAAGAGGGTAGATGGAGTAGATGGATGTTTTGTGAATAGACGATTTCAGGAGGGTACAGGGAGTCAGCAGGTTCTAGATGAAGGCAGAGCAATAAACCAGACTGCAGGGTTGAAATAGCTAAGTGGGCGTCTGTAAAGCCATCATTGTGTGATCTGGTGCTCCATCTCTAATGTGGGGATTAGGAATGTGCTCAAAGCAAAAGTCTTTGGAATCAAAGGGTTTGGATTTACGCTCCCAAGCTCAAGATTTCCTACAGTGCCATGTTCTTTCCTCACCTATATTATTTCCTACAGTCATTAAAGCACCTCTCAACTCCCAGACACCTTGTTTCTTCCCACTTAGGCCTGATGAAATATTTTCTGTCACAGACACTTTCTTTGTATGATGTGTTTTCTGAGATCTATTTGTTCGTCTCTCCTAGCTCTCCACTGTGGTTTGAATCCACGGGGTATTGATCACCCTGCCCATGCCGAAGGAATTAAGCTGCAAATTGAAGGTGAAGGGATAGAATCTCAATCCATTAAAAACAAAAATTTCCAGAAGGTGCCTGACCAAAAAGGAACCCCCAAGAGACTGCAGGGAGAAGCCGAGACAGCAAAGGTAAGCCATTCGCCAATTAAGCACTAAAAGTCTAAAGCTGTGGCCTTGCAAAGCCCTGGTCCAGCTTCTGCTGATGGCTGACGCATCTTTGGTAATAGTAGTGCTGTGTCTTGCTGATAAATGACAATGTTGACTGAGTTCCCTTTGGGTGCAATGAAACACTTGTGCAGCTGTCCCGTAGTATGAGCCTGTGGACCATGGGTCATGGAAAAGACCCTCTGTACTTAACAAGAGTAGATTTATAAACCTTTTTTCTTTTTGCACAAGTTATGCAACCTTACGTTTCATGTTCCTCCTCTATACAGGAATCAGGCTGAGTAACTGATTTTTGTGCCCTTAGGGGCTTTGCTGACAAAGGCTATTAATGATAATAACTGACTTTTGCAAAATATGTGCATACATGGCAAATTGAAAGGGACTCTTGGTGCCTGGATTATCATGTCTTTACTCATCCTATGAATCAGACTATAGTAAATGTTAGTTAATGAAAGATCCAGCTGGTCTATTTTGTCTTTTTAGTCTTTGGCCTAAAGATAGGTGCCATACAACTGATAATGTGTGTGTTAAGGGTGTATACAGAAGTACAGAAGTACATACCATGTTTGTCTTTTTGTGCCTGGGTTTCCTCACTCAGGATGGTTTCTTCTAGTTACATCCATTTGCCTGCGAATTTCAAGATTCCATTTTTTTCACCACTGAGTAATACTCCATTGTGTAAATGTACAACATTTTCTCCATCCATTCTTCAGTTGAGGGACATCTAGGGGCATCTGCTTCCAGGTTCTGGCTATTACAAATAGTGCTGCTATGAACATAGTTGAACAGATGTCCTTGTTGTGGGAATGTACTTCTTTTGGGTATATGCCTATGAGTGGAATTGCTGGATTTTGTGGTAGACTGATTCCCATTTTCCTGAGAGACCTCCATATTGATTTCCAAAGTGGCTGTAAGAGTTGGCACTCCCACCAGCAATGGAGGAGTGTTCCCCTTTCTCCACATAAACTGTCTCCAGTTTATGTCTCCAGCATAAACTATCATTGGTGTTTTTTATATTAGCTATTCTGACAGGAGTAAGATAGTTTCTCAGAGTTGTTTTGATTTGCATTTCCTTGATGACTAAGGATATTGAGCACTTTCTTAGGTGCCTTTCAGCCATTTTAGATTGCGCTATTGAGATTTCTCTATTTAGTTCTGTACCCCACTTTTTAATTGGATAATTTGGTGTTTTAATGACTAGCTTCTTGAGTTCTTTGCATATTTTGGAAATCAGCCCTCTGTCAGATGTGGGGTTGGTGAATATCTTTTCCCAGTCTGTGGGCCACGGTTTTGTCTTGTTGACTGTGTCCTTTGCCCTACAGAAGCTTCTCAGTTTCAGAAGGTCCCATTTATTAATTTTCAATATCAGTGCCTGTGCTACTGGTGTTATGTTCAGGAAGTGGTCTCCTGTACCAATTTTTTCAAGGGTACTTCCCCATTTCTCTTCTAAAAGGTTCAGTGTGGCTGGATTTATGTTGAAGTCTTTGATCCATTTGCATTTAAGTTTTGTGCATGGCGATAGACATGGATCTATCTGCAGTCTTCTATATGTCAGCATCCAGTTATGCCAGCACCATTTGTTGGAGATGCTTTCTTTTTTCTATTGTACAATTTTAGCTTCTTTGTCAAAAATCAGGTGTCCGTATGTGTGTGGGTCCATATCAGGGTTTTCAACTAGATTCCATTGGTCTATCTATCTGTATTTGTGCCAATACTGAGCTGTTTTCAGGACTATAGCTCTATAATAGAGCTCGAAGTCAGGGATGTCTCTGGAGGATCCTTTATATTACAGGGTTGTTTTGGCTATCTGGGTCTTTTGCTTTTCCATATAAAGTTGAGAATTGTTCTTATACTCACTCATATATGGATTTTAGACATAGAGTAAAGGATTACCAGCCCACAATCCATACTGCCAGAGAAGCTAGGAAACAACGAGGATCCTAAGAGAGACATACATGGTCCCCTAAAGAAGGGGAAAGGGACAAGATCTCCTGAGCTAATTGGGAGCACAGTGGGAGGGGAGAGGGAGTTAGGAGAAAGAGCAGGAGAGAAGAGGAGGGGAGAGGAGGACATGAGAGAGCAAGAAGATCCAGTCAGGGGAAGAATAGAGGAGAGCAAGAAGAGAGACACCATAACAGAGGGAGCCATTATAGGTCTAAAGAGAAATCTAGCACTAGGGAATTGTCCAGAGATCTACAAGGATGACACCAACTAACAATCTAAGCAATCTTTGAGAGGCTGCCTTAAATGCCCTTCTCCAATAATGAGATTGATAACTACCTTACATGCCATCCTGGAACCTTCATCCAGTAACCGATGGAAGCAGAAGCAGACACCCACAGCTAAACACTGAGCTGATCTTTGGAATCCAGTTGCAGAGAGGGAGGAGTGATGAGCAAAGGGGTCAAGACTAGGCTGGAGAAACCCACAAAAACAGCTGACCCAAACAAGGGGTTGCTCATTGACCCCAGACTGATAGCTGGGAAACCAGCAAAGAACCAATCCAAGCCCCCGATTGTGGTTGTCAATTAGGAGCCCTGGACAATCTATGGGGCCTCTGGTAGTAGATCACTATTTATCCCTATGCTGGTTTCACAGCTATCAGTCTAGGGTCCATGAGCTCCCCCTTGTTCAGGTCAGCTGTCCTTGTGGGTTTCTAAGCAGCATGGGACTGTTCCAGACCCCCTGAATGAGGATGTCAGTTTGGAGGTCTGGTTAATCTTTGGGGCCTCTGATAGTGGATCAGTATTTATCCCTAGTGTATGAATGGACTTTGGGAGCCCATTCTACATAGAGGGATACTCTATCAGCCTAGACACACAGGAGAGGGTCTAGGCCCTGCTCCAAATGATATAACAGACTTTGAAGATCTGCCATGGAAGGCCTTACCCTCACTGGTGAGCAGAAAGGGGATGGATAGGGAGTCAGTGGGGGGGCAGGGAAGGAGGGGAGGGAGAGGGAACTTGGATTTACATATAAAACAAGCTCGTCTCTAATTTAAATTAAAAAAATAAAAAGTGTATACAGAGAGTGGGGTTCTGAGGGCCAAAGAGTTTTTTTGTTTGGTTGATTTTTTTTCTGGTTTTTTTTTTTGGTGAGTACAGTCTCTTATAAAGGCTTTCTCTTTCTTAAAATTCACTGTGTGCAAATGTAGAGACCCCTATCATGACATAACACATATACACAGAGAGAGGGGGTGAGGGAAGAGAGAGAGAGAGAGAGAGAGAGAGAGAGAGAGAGAGAGAGAGGGAGAGAGGAGAGAGAGAGACACCTTGGTGCACTCAGGCACAAATGAGATGTTTCCATCAAATCTCTCCCCTCAGACGTTGAGGAACCCAGCAGAAGAGGAGGCAGAAAGAGTGTAAGAGCCATAGGGGATGAGGACACCAAGGCAACAAGGTCCTCTAAATCAAAATAAGAAGGTTCATATAAATTCTCAGAGACTGAGGCAGCGTGCATAGTGTCTGCACAGTCTGCCCCAGGTCCTCTGTGTATATTATGGCTTCCAGTTTAATCATTTTATGGGATTCCTGAGTGCATGAATGAGATTTTCGGGCCTGCTCTTTTCCTTCTGTTTTTTTTTGTCTTGTCCTACTTGGATGTAATAGTTTTGTTTTATCTTACTGTATTTTGTTTTGTTAAATTTTATTATTATCTCTTAGAAGCCTGCTCTTTTCTATTCAGAGACAGAAAGGGAGCAGCTCTGGATGGGAAGGGAGGTGGGGAGGAACTGGGAGGAAAAGAGGGAAGGGAAACTGTAATCAGGATATATTATATGAGAAATCTATTTCCAATAAAAAGAAAAGGGGGGAAAGCTACTGTATGGATTTTTGTGTGAACTCAATGAGGATATCCTTGCCAAGTGTTGAAGATGTTCTTTTTAATTCTCTTAGTGGAAATTGAGGGAATTAATCTTGCTAGACATTTGGATCCTCTCTTTGTGGACTCTATAAGAGAATTTCCAGTGATGTTTGTTGAGTGAGACAGTATATGAAAACCTTAGAAAATAAACGTAATAACCCAAGGACAATCAGAAGTAGGAAGGTCATCTGGATGTTGTACCCTGATCCAAATCATGCTTTGTTTGTGTTAAAATGTGATTTTGTTTGCGATTTACCCACAGTTGTGAATAATAACCACCATTGTGTCCTCTCTTCGGCTGGATAATTAAAAACTGATAACATTACTCATACGTATCTCTGAGTGGTGAAAGACCAGTGAGGAAACTATTGCAAGCACTATGCAAATAGCCCCTTAAAGGAAATTGCTGGATGCTCTAAGTTTTGCTTGTGAGCAGAGTTGGTGATAAGTGAGCTTTACCATGACATCCAAACTTAATCAGTCTCTGGTGCTATACAGATATCCAGAAGATCCAGGAGAAAAAATGCCCTCTGGGTCTTACTTTTACTCTGAAGATAAACAGAGCTTGTGTGTGTTAAAGGATGCCTAAAATATTAAAAATCCAACTGGGAAAAACAGAAAACTAATTCTTGCTAGTTTGTTTTATTTTAATTCCAATGTAATTGAATATTTCCAGATTATACCTCTGTTCTTTAAAAATATTAACAGAAAATCAATTCAGATCGTATGTGGCTTGATTACTTCTGAATTAATGATGAATGTGTGATATTCTGCTTCTGCAGAAAATTCCCACAATTCTGGAAAGTGGCCCTATGGCTCAGCAGAGCCCTTTGTAAGTTGCCTTGCTGATAACAGGCTTATTTTAAAACTGAGGATCCAGTATGCACCTTTTCTAAACACAAGACCACGGTTAGAAACTATGTTCATTGGAGTTTGTCCAAATCATCTACAATAAAAGCCCCAAACAAGGAGAGTCTGGGGTTTTTACATGGACATGTTTAAGGATAAACAGAGTAGAAGCTTCAATAAAGCACAAACAGAATTTCACAATTTTAAATTCACAAGAATGGTGTCCATCTCTTCATGGAGGGCTCGCAGGTGAA